TATTTATTTATATTTTTTTATATATATTTTATATATATTTTTATATTTATTTATTTTGTCCATCCTAATGAGTTTGGCTGATTTCTCTTATGATGTATATTTTGTGATCATTTAAGTGTTAATCTTATTCATTCAAAGTAATTATTAAAATGTTTAATTGTTCTGTGTTTTTCAGCTGTCAGTGTGAATTTGGCTCAGCCATTTGCAACGCTACAGTCTCAGAAAGCCCAGACGTCTCCGGCCCCTCAGCAGAAAACGGTGAGTCTCTTTACTCTGTCTGTACCTCACTGCACTAAGCAAAAACTACAGTGCTCAGCTGTTTATAATTTTATAATCTATTACAGAGCAGGAAGTATTCTAGGATTACAAACTACAAGAATTTTGATTAACCAGGAACTGCGATAAAATTGCATAAAAGTAGTGTAACGTTGTTCTAATTTAACTTCATTAAATTTAATTCCATACAATGATGTGTGTAATTTCTGTGCAGCTAATGACAACAAATGTGATTGGAAAAATGACTGATGTCCAGTTGATAGGATGAACAAATAACCCCGCCTCAAACTCACTTATTGGTTGTGAGAGATGCCAGTCTGTATATTGGTTTGAAGTCCTACAAAAGCAGTATAAAGTGGTGAAGTCTGGGTAAAAAGAAATTGTCACTTTATTTTAACTGATTTCAATAACTCCAACCTGTAGATTGCATTTATTAAACTAAAGTAACAGTCACATGTAAAGGTCCCATTTATGGTTCACATCATAGTAGTTGTCTGTGTGACAGCCCATGCAGCCCATCCACGTCACAGCCGCGGCCGTAGGAGGGGTTGTTCCAGTTGCAGCTGTCAGCCCTGCCCCTCAGAAAGCTGTAGCCACTCCTCCTCCATCCAGCCCCGTCCCACCCACCGCGCCTGCACGGAGCGCCCGTCGTAAACAGGCGTCTGCGGCTCAGCAGCAGCCGGTGCCCGTCCAGCCCACTGCCACTCAGCCGGCTGGTGCCCCACCTCCAGCACAGGCTGAGCCTGCAGCAGTGCCGCCCACTGTCCAGCAGCCAGAACCTCAATCCCAAATCAGCCCAGAGAAGGCAGAAGAGAGGGTAATCACCTCCATCCTGTGCATGCTACTCCATCCCGTTTGATTCAAAGAGCTGGCAGCCTCACTCTCACTAATGATGCACCTCATGCAGGGGCTGTGCCTCATCATCCATTGTGTTGCATCCATCTATCCATCCTTGGTTTATTTTGGATCAGCATATATGGTTTTGATTGTTTGCGTGACGGATGTTTGCTTGTTTTGGTTTATTTGCTCTGAAAATTGTCTAAAAACTATGACAGACAATGTTTTTGTTAAAACCATTAGAGTTGTATGCCTTTATTTTTGATTTGATGAAATGTTCATTTTATGGTTTTTAGGCTTTGTTTACACTGCATTCTGAATTGTTTGTCAGTTCAGATGATGAAGTGATGAAATCAGATCCGTTTGTTCAGGCAGTGTAGTAATTATCCAGTATATTTAGATCAGTTGACATAGAAATGACTTGAGCATCAGAAAGATGCTGAGAGGGACAAAATAAGTAATTTATTATTTACAAACTCAACTATTTCTCACATTCACTATTAACTATACACTAAGACAAGATATTTTAATGTTTCTGTCTCTTAGACTCAACAAGGCTGCATTTATTTGATCAAAAATATAGTAAAAATAGTAATACTGTGAAATATTATAACAGTTCAAAATAACTGTTTTCTATCTTAATAGATTTTAAAATGTAATTTATTCCAGTGATGGCGACACTGAATTTTCTGCATTCATTACTCCAGTCCTCAGTGTCACAAGAAATAATTCTAACATGCTGATTTTCTGCTCAAGAAACGTTCTTTATTATTAATATTTCTATATATTTATATTTCTATATTTATAGTGATGCTTTTTCTGTATTCTTTGAATAGAAAGTTAAAAAAAACAGAAGTAGAAATATTTTGTAACTTTTGATCAATTTAATGCATCTTTGCTAAATAAAAGTATTATTTTCTTTTTAAAAACAGTTTTACTAAGCCCAAATTTTTGAACGGTAGTGTTGCTAATGCTACACATGAGTGTAGACATAGTTTTGTGTCTGACTTTCCAAGAAAAAAAATTGTTTTTTGCTGCCTGCCTGAACAGTTGCTATAGAGAAAAAAGTCATGTTGGAAATTATTAATCAGTTTTTATGTTTATTACTTATCTGTATTCACTAGCACTTCATCAATCACCTTTAATTTTTCATGTTTTTTTTTGTTTTAATTCATACCATTTCACTTCATTTCAATTTCAATTTTGTCACACTCTGATTTCTTTGTATTTTATGAGTTCTTCTTGCTTATCCTACTGTCTTTTCATCATCTCCTCAGCCTGCGGCCCCTGGCCTGTCCCAGACTCCTCCTTCGTCCCCAAGGATGGCCCAGAAGGCGGGGCACAGACGCATCCAGAGTGATGTTACTCACAGCGCTATGTTCGGTGTGCCAGTCAGCCAGTCCACTCAGCAGCTGCAGGCAGCCACAGCAGAGGCCAGCCTTAACAAGTCAAAGTGAGAAATCAATAAATATAGAGTGAGACGCTGCAATTATATAGCCTACTTAGCCAGAAAAAATGTTCTGTCACATTTGAACCTACTTAAAACTGATCACTTGTTTCTCTATTTGGGCACAATTAGGTCAGCCAGCGCCACCCCATCCAATTCTCCCCAGTCCTCCCAGCAGAGTGTGTACCAGGCTGCCCAGCAGGGCAGTACTTCTGTCCCTCAAGCTCCTGCCTCAGCTGCTAGCCTGACAAGCCCCCCAGACCAGCCCACCTGGAATCCTTTTGGTGATGACAATTTCTCCAAACTCACGGCTGAGGACCTACTCAACAAAGACTTCACCAAACTAGCTGATGGTAACTTTGCTTTCTATAGTACTGTAAAACTATGGTACGTCTTATCACTGCACGTCCTGCTCTCTTTCTCTACAGCCGGATAAAACAAAAACTGTGTTTGTCTTCATTTCAGGCTGCAATGCAACAAAATGTGATTATTTTAAAGGGGGGTGATTCTTCTCTATACCCACTGTATTCCCCCCCACCCCACTGTTTTTACTGCACATCGTACTATGTATGGTTGTGTGTGTGATAAATTAAAGGGATAGTTCACCCAAAAATGAAAATTCTGTCATTAATCCTCACCCTTATGTCGTTCCTCGGTGGTTCAACCTTAATTTTATGAAGCTATGAGAATGTGGTCCTGATGTCACATGGACTATTTTAATGATGTCCTTACTACCTTTCTGGGCCTTGAACATGGTAGTTCCGTTGAGGTCTATGCAAGGGTCTGAAAGCTCTCGTATTTCATCATAATATCTTAATTTGTGTTCAGAAGATGAACGAAGTTCTTACAGGTTTGGAACGAAATGAGGGTGATTAATTAAGGACAGAAATTTCATTTTTGCGTGAGCTATCCCTTTAAATTTGAAATTTAAATGATCAGTGTATTTATAAGAGCATTTTTGCTGTTTACAGAACCTGTTGAACTTCTGATTGTCGCTACTGAGAGTCTTATTCCCGGGCTGGAGGCTGCAGAACCTGCTCCTCCATCTTCTGGTAAGTGTACTGTCAGCCCTAAACTAATGTTCCTCTCTTACATAATATGATATCAATATTACCCTGATAGTGACATCCTGGCTTCCTGTTTGTCTGTATTTGGCTATTGATATTCCATTCGTGTGCCGTCAGTCTCTCTCTTTATTTCTGTACCATTGATGGCCTCCCTCGCTACATGATGGCACATGTTCAGTACATCTGAGGTAGTCGAACTGCAGGAATCAGCAGGAGACTCCTTAAGATGAATCAAGGCCCACCAGTTATCTCAGCTTCCCTGCTGAGCTACTCGTCAGAGTCCGCCTGCTTCCTTAAATAGTTACACTGACTATCACTGTTGGATGACTCCCATTAATGTTCAGCACTTCTTGACCACTTTATTATTTCCATTTACTGTTTCTCTGCTCTCATACAGCTGAAAGACCTGTTGACATTCTGGGCTTGGAATCAGGAGTTGGTTTGCTAGCTGTGCCAGGTAATCCAGATGTCCATGCCAGCCTCACCTACCCTCTACGCACCTTAGTGATCACATACCTTCAGTTGTTACCAAAATACCAATGATTTTAAATGTTGTGAATCGCAGAAAGTTAATGTACTATTAACATTTTTTTTATTAAAAAAAAATTAACAACAAACAAAATGTAATAATAATAATAATAATAAAACTAAGTAATTAAAAGCAAAAGAACAAATGCAAGTGGAACAAAGAAACACAATATAAATTATAATTTCATAAAGCTGCTTAAGTGCTTTTTCAGATATCTTTCAACAGTAACAAGTATTCAAGTAAAACATTCAGAAACTGGAAAAAATACAAAACGAATTAAATTAAAATAAAATTACTGAAATAATTGTTTTGTTATCATGCATTAATACTGATTGGTGCAGTTGACTGAAAAACTGCTCTAATTCATTTTAGTTTCTATTAAGTTTGTCATTAGGCATAACTTTGTGTTAGTGTTTGATGTGTTGATTTTTGTCCCACTTTTTTGCATTTACTGCATCAGTAATGGTTTGTTTTGATCGCATTTCACTTTTACGTTGTGTTCTCAGCCTGCATTGTGCAACACATAATTTAGACCCATCAGTAATTCTTCAGCTGCTTATTTCTGTTTTTTTTTAAGTTACATTTTTCTAATCATCAGTCTGGCATTCAAACCCTCCATTTTCCTTTCTCTTTCCTCTTAGTTTTTCCTATAAATACATTTCTGTGTTTATTCTGGCTAACACTGTCTTTTTTCACTTGCTGACTTACAGAGAAACTGATAGAGGGCCTGAAGTCTCCAGATACCTATCTCATGCTGCCTGATCTGCTGTCAATGGCTGACCCCTTTGGTAGCTCCATTGATGACACTAGAGATGGTAACAGCTTTTGCTGACTGTCTCGCTGGATGCTTGCCTCTTTTACAAAAGCTTAACAAAAAACTGTCCTTTTCGCTGAGACGCATGACGTTTTCCCTCTAAATGTTGTTGTGTAATGCAGAGTAAACAATCCCTGTATTATTTATGATAGCTTGGAATTTTGTCGTCTTGCCATGTGAAATTTAACTTTATTTGTATAGACATTGAGAAATCAACTCACAAAAGGTTTGGACAGCATCTAGAGTAGTGTTATGGCATTGCATTAGTAAAAAAAGCTGATTTATTGCGTAGTGATGGGTCTCAGAAATATTGTGTGTACCAAAAAGATGAGGGGGTCAACACCGAACCCTGAGGTACACCTGTAGTTATTTGATATGACTTGCACATCCCTCCTTTCCAAGATACCTCAAAAGAATCTAATCATCATGTAAAGCTCAAAATAGCGAAAGGAAGTTCTTATGATGTCCATTATTGAGAGAATAGAGTCGCTTTGTTAAAGAAATTGTGCATGGGCCATCAGACTGAAAAATGGATGTTTGGTTTTAAATGTGTTATGAAAGATTCCAGTGATGTGTTTGATGATGTGACAAATAATTCACAATGTGGCATTGTCTGTTTTCTTTGTACTTTCTTCATTCTCTCTTATTCCCAGCCAAAACGGAAGTGTGCTTGGACTCTCTGATTCCTGGCTTGGAGCCCCCTCAGGCTCAGCTACACCCTGTGGAGGCAGATCCAGTATCATCAGCACTGGGAGGTAAAAAATATGCATTAGAAACAGACGAGCCTCTGCCTAGCATCGTAGCACCCTGTCAAATACTTCAGTGGTTGCAGAATCTTTTCTTTGTGTGGAGAGAGGGCCTGAGTCTATGGCTGATTTCTCACATTAAAAACTCTGCCATCAGTATCCTTTTCCCCCACATTTTTAAGGATGCAGTAAGGTAAATGCAACAGTTAATTGCAGAGGTTCTCATCGGGGTCATGTAATGAGGAAACCATTTTTTTTTTCATCTTTAGATATAAATGAATTCAGTGAAAACACTGTAAATGTGTGGTCACATTTACCATTGTTTCGCAGGCAAAATCCAGTCATTTCAATAGGAATCCACACAACTGGGAATTTCACCTTTGGCCAAAAGGTGTCCCATTTAGATTCGGCAACGAGTTCAAATTGGTCAGCTTTCTGTGTTGCCCAACAGAAAGCTGCTCGGTTTAAAAGTGATTTCTGAGTGAACTGTGCTTCATACATCACTACACTATTGACAATAGACAGTGGACCATTTTGTCTGCAACATTTTTCTAAATCAACACCATAAATTTTACAATTCAAAACATTCCATTCTATATATTAAAGGGGTCATATGATGCGATTTCAATTTTTCCTTTCTCTTTGGAGTGTTACAAGCTCTTGGTGCATAAAGAAGATCTGTAAAGTTGCAAACACTAAAGTCTCAAAACCAAAGAGATATTCTTTATAAAAGTTAAGAGTTAACCACACCTACCTAAAATGGCTCGTTCTAACACACCCCCACATACCTACGTCACGATCTGGGAAGATTTGCATAACGCCTCCCAAATGTTCACGCAAAGAAAGAAGGCGTAACTTTTATTCTCGCTGTAGTATTGTTGAGGCTGCAGCCATGTCCGGAAGACGCTGTGTGCTTCGTTGTGAAAGCGAAACTACTTTGTTTGGTCTTCCAAAAGAGGACGATATCCGCTTCGTCATGTCTAGAGCTGATCTGTGCTGGTCGCTGAGGAAATAC